ACATACACTGTTGGCAATATTCCAAACATCTCTTTAGCTGTTGTCCCTCTCCGAACTGAATCTGAAACCTTAAGCTCAATAAGCACTGTCCAAGGAGAGTACATTAAGTGCAAAGTGCCAGATGACAGACAAGAATTAACTTCTTGTCTGATTTATCTGTTCGGACCACAAGCTTTATATGCAATGCATATAATGAGCCACATGACACATGACAGCGTCAGTACAGCCTGCATTCCACATACATACCTAGGTAAGAACATACATTAACAATATTCAGCCTGCTCCCATAATTTAACCATTTTCTATCATTTCCACAGGTCTTTCTCTCCCCATCCCACAATGTGGCTGCTTTTGAGAAGTCCCTGCCTATTTTAAGTATTTGCCTCATGATTCTGAATCATACTGAGAAAACTGTATATATAAGAGAAAATCAAGCCTTCTAACTTTTAATTCTTGAATTCCACACAAGTTAGGTGACTAAAACAGCAAGTGTAACTATATGCGTCCCAAGACATCCAGTTCTAGGATAATTTCATCAGGAATAACGGAAAGGATGAGATAGAGTTTTGTAAGGGTAAAAATATTCAACTGTAGGATGTTGTCTTGAATACAGATTAAAGCTGACATGATACATAAAAGTTAATAGTGGCTAAGTACTGAATCATTTTCACTTAACTGGTAAATCAGATGTTTGTTGATTAAAACAACAATACCACAACTACAGTCTGACACTCCTGGTGTATACCGAATTGCTGTTTCTACAGTAGAGATAGGGCACACACAGAGGATGTAGCGGAAACTCCTACCATATGAGGCAAGGGCAGTTTAAGATTCACTGTTCATTCTACACCCCAGAAAAATTTTAACCAAGTGGTGGTTTTAATTTTTTTATTTCAAATAATCTTGTGGTAAGTTCACACTTTAGTTTTTTTGTATGCTCATAAAGAAGCAAAAAAAGAGGCCTTGCTTCTTCATGTCAGGATATGAATTTCTCAGAAGTGACAGTGGCTACAGAATTACCATCCTGAAAGGTGTAACAATTAAATTAGAACAAAATTAAAGGTTTCTGGTAATAATCACCACACCTGCAGTTAATGCATGTAACTGAATCAAGAGTAAAAACATCCCATTCACCCTACCTAGAGCCCATGGCTCTAAGGATTCCAGTTTTATTCAGTACATTAATGTGTCGGAACTTTTACTTTCACCAATTAGTCACAGTTTCTCCTGCTCCTCAGAATAAAAGCTGTTCAAAGCTGTCATTGTTCCACAATCGAGAAAAGCCAGTTGTGTCATTACTAATTATCTATCAGTGAGTCATATTTGTTACAGAGCAGGGAAAGCCAAAGTGAATGTCAACTCTGCACTGAAGAAAAGTACTAAGATAACATTAAGGAGGAAAGCATTTATAAATACCTTCAAAGTGGAAACAGGGTTAAATTTAGTTCAAGATGGCAGAGAAGCAGCTCACAGTTTGGTTAAGTAACCTTTAGCTTGCAGCCATCTGCAGACAAAAAGGAGGACAGTTATCTGAAGAAGCTCTGAAGAATACTCTTCAGGAGCAAGGAAACCTAGAATTTAAAGTGATAAGTGAGACTGTCAGCCTTCACTTCTAAATGTATGATGGTACAGCACATACTAAAAATAAGGGCAGACAACTCATATCAGCTCTACTGGAACTATTTTACAGTTTTCTAGAGATCTACTCAGAGTGAATGTCACCAGACTAGACAAAATACATTGCACATACTTCATCACAAGAAGATTGACAAACAGCTAGAATACACTTTAAAGCAATTCACTTACATGTCTCCAGAGCAGCCATTCTTTGGTGACTTCATTTCTGCTTTAAAGTCTGCTCAGCAGATTGTGAAATATGTAAAAATATTATAACCAGTTTACTTCCTAGCTCTGTGCAGGGTACTTCTCAGATCCAATTTACCTTTAGAAACCTGTTCTTTGTTTTTGAAATACACATGATATAATATTGTACTATGAAGAAAGGAAAAAATATTTAACAGGATAAGACACACAAGGGATAACATTGTAACTTTTTTTTTGTTCCGCGCTTTCCACTGGAGACCAACAAAAACCATCTATATTTGATAGTTTAAGTTTTAAAATCAAGTAAAGGAAAGGTTACGCTTTAAAGCTGGTAGACCCCAAACCACAGCCTACAGATCATCCATAATCTGTATGGTGACTGGAATCACCCATCTATTTACGTAAATTTGAAACCAACACTACAAACAAACAGGCAAAGACAGGAAGGAGAAAACTAGCTGACATACAAAAATGACCGTGACCAGGCATACCCCACCATGTGTTTTGATATCACTCCATGAAGGTTTAGATTGTGGGGGGTTTGCTTCTTGTGATTGTGAAGGTTCTTCTGGTTTGTTTTTTAAAATGCAGTGTTAGTGATGAACTTTATTTTCAAAGTTTCTCACAAAGGAAAGAGCATGTGTATGTTAAGGTGGCATTTCCACTATCCAGTTATTTTCCACAAATTAGGCTAAAAACATGCAAAAAGACAATAAACACTGGAACAACACTTTCAAGGGATTTGTTTATTTTTGGTTTACAAACAAAGGCACCCAATATTTCTGTTTATGTCTTATAAAAGCTCACGGATTTAGCATTTGTTTCCAAACATCTGTTCCTACAGCAGAGAAAAACATTACAGGAAAATGTAATTTTTTTCCTGGTCCCAAATTTAAATACCAGTAACTGTTAAGTGATCACGTTGTTTCAGACTGTGGTTCTTCCTATTTAATCAACTGGAATACCTCCTGTAACTTGCCAGTCAGTACAGTGAGTCTAGCTTACTGTATCAAAATATAGTTCTGGTATACTTTTGATCAACATCTGTTATGTCCAAACACTGGTATGAAGAACTGCAAGAGAACAGGGTTCTGATATGGAAAAAACCCTAGCAGTTTCAGATAGAATTCCACAGACTGACCACAGGAAGTGACAAAACTAATGTAATAAATGTGACACTGAATCTACTGTCAGTTAAATAGGATGACTGATGAATTTGTGGAAGATACCAATAGTGCACAGAACCATGGTCTTCAAAGAAGGAAAAAATTCGGGTTTCTAAATTGGCAAATGTTTAAAGAGTAGAGGTTAAATACCCTTACGTTTAAAGCAATCCTTTTCTTCATTATTTACTCAAAAGAATAGATTTCTAAGCAGTGTTTTGGACCAGAAATAATCAGTTCATTGGCTTCATAGTTCTCGGTATTAACAAATCAAAAGTATCACATATAATAAACAACCAAAATTCCTAAGTGAATTGCTTCACAGAATAATTTTCAGAATATGCTGTATTTGTCTTTTGCAAACTTCAGCCACATGCCAACATGGGACAAGGGGTGTCATTGGATAGTAAGCACCTCTGAAAAAGTCTACAATGCAGGAATGGTTAAGCATACTTTCAGGTCTAGTAAGATACTTGGGGAGGCAACTAAAAATGTAATACACCTAATGTATTTGTTAAAGTGTAACATCTTAAATCACAGAAGCCATAATTTATTTTCAGCCACAGTTAGAGGTCTCTCACACAAGGTGTGGTCCTAGACCGTTTAGGCTTTCCATCACTAGCTTTATACATACACAGGTAATTTTAAAAAGGAATTACAGCTTAACTAATTACTACTGAATATTTAGCTTCAACAAGGAAGCCATTATCTTTTCAAAATGAGATATACACCTGCATGAAAGGTGTTCTCTTTAAAGTAACAGTTTCCACAAGAATAGCAAAATAAGTTCTTTACATACTTAATTCAAATAGGACAAAAAACTACCAAGGGCAAGTATAACATAGCTCTTGTGTAATTAAGTCGTTATATTCCTTTTCAAGCAGATTCAAGAACATATTCATCAGTATAAACTGATTTTAAGGAACAAACACTGGGCAAGGGTGGCGGTCAGTGCATCAATTACAGGAGCATTACAATATTCTCAGAGATAATTCTGTGCAACCAAAATTTATAGGGATCTTTATGTATTGTCTTAAACAAGGATTCAACCTTTTCTTACAACTGGTTATTTTTACAAATATTTTCCCTACTGAAAAAAGTAACATGCAGAAAAAAAAGACTTCATCAGATTTAAACTTAACAGTTTAAGTTGAAGATTGATGGAAGAATTGTTAACGTACTTTCATTCTAAAGCAAGGTGCATCTTGCTCTGCTTGCCCAGTGAAATTAAAGATTTTATTGGAGCAGGGATGAGAAAGTGTGCTTACACATTGCTGTTGTCCATGCATCAAATCTCATAGCTCAGAGATTTAAAAAAAATTATTAATTCATGAAGTATTTGCTAACATTGCTTAAAATTTAAAAACAGGTATATCTCTTAATGAAAGCCTATAGTTTGTCCAACTACTATTAGCAGTAACACACATAGCAACTAAGCATGATAAATTCCTTTCAAATACATTTACCTTTTGAAGTCAGAAGTGTAACAATCAAGTGCTCGCTCTGTGTTCCCAATAAAAATAATTTAAAAAAAGAGGACGGTCCATGACTTTATTTTTGCCCCCCTCAGGGTTAAATTTCCTTTTATCTACTCAATGACAGAATCAATTCTGCTTTCAGAGAAGCAAACCGTTCATGCTGACATAAATGCAAGTCGGATGCAGCCAGTTTTGAGCACAGAACTGAATCACTAAGTGCATTCTGAAGACCAGATCAGACAAAAAGCCTTTCAGTACTTAAAGAAGGTTGTTTTTCTTGTTCTCCTTTTTTATTTTAAAGCAAAGTAGGCACCATTGTTGCATCCCTACTTTAAGAAGGGAAGAAGTGGAAAAAAGTAAAGACAAATTATAAAAGTCCTCGAATAATTTTTCGCAGGAGATCCACCATCATTTATACACTTTTGCAACTTGCAGAACCCTTTGTAATTTCAAATAAATAGGTCTACAGCAACTAGCAACTAAGTCAATATTTATCGTACTCAATGTGGAATAAAAAGAAAAAAATAATGTTAAGGCAGATTTCAATCACACATGTTCCAAATTGCACAGTTATGTTGGTCAGTGGTCTGAAATGTTTTCCCCAGGTCAAATAGTTAAAAGTTATTTAAATGTTTGTCTAATGCCAATTCAACCTGGCACTTGACCATTTTAATTTCTGTTTCCAGGAAGATACACAACTAACATTACATATACCATACTGTAGATTTTGCACTCCAATTTAAGATGAAATTATGCTTTTACAAAATGTGAGATGACTACATGTTACAGGCTTTGTGCAGTTAGACCACCATATGCATAGATGTCCTAATGCTAAATTCTCTTCTTCAGTATCTCATAGTACTGGAGGCTCTGAAGTAGGAGAGGAATTTGTAACACAAACTAACCACAAAGTACCAGATATTTCTTGCCATTTGTGATCTTGCAATGAAGATACGCCAGATCAGGATCACAAGAACTGTATTGAAGCCGTAGCGTATATTTCTTAACCTAAGGGAAAACAAAAGAAATAATTAAAAGCCAAGGTAACAAGACTTACAGGAAAAAAGGACACTCTAAAAATTAACTTCTAAAGTAGAATTTACTTTGTTCATCTATTCATCTCAAGATACATTATGAGTGGTATTAAGCAAATGATGGAAGTAATCTGATAAGTGAAGGACCAAACAGAGAAAGCTTGTTCACTGCTGAAAAGTGGAACACATGAAAACTGAGGAACAGAGCCAATCCTGTAGCTAACCACATGTACTTCTGCTTCATAGCTGCTTGATAAAAACCTCTTAAAGCCAAGGTCACACACACAGTATCTTACAGAAGCCTGCCATCCGCCCCAAATCCAAGGAAATATTTGAGACTACAAATTCCCATCCTCCCCTCCACTTATTTAAAACTTCATATATATGTAGAAGTAACTCCAGCTGCCATTGTCAAAAAAAAAAAAAATAAAAAAACCACAAAAAAACCCACAAACCACCAACACATTTCAGAATATTCCAGCCACAGAGCCCAGAGTCCTCACTGCAATTTTAAAAACTTATTCCTTCTCAGGGAACTATATTTAAAGAATAGAAGAAACTAAGTGTCCTTTTAGGGCAACTGACTTTCAACAGTGCTCTCACATGTAAAGAGGGAAGCTTCAAGACAAACAGAAACCAGAATTTGCTCAGATTTCTTAGAAACAGAACAATCTCTTTGGTTCCATAGATCATGACAAATTTGTATTTTAAAGGCAGCTCTTTTTAAGGAAATACTCATTGCCCTTATCTTGTTTTACAGGTAGGCTGGGTGTTACTATAGCCAGACCTTCCTCTGCGGACCTTATTTGTAGAAAAAACAATATCAGTTTCTGTGTTACAAAAGAAAAGACCACTTTTCTATTTGAGGAAAAATTCTACTCAGTAGTTTCCTAAAGAAGCCAGGTCCCTTGGCTGCCACACTGGGTTAATATTGAAGCAGTGGACTCCTCAAATTCAGATTAGTCAGAGTTAAGAGTTGGATGTTAACAGAAGAAAACCAACTTAATAACTCAGACTAAATATATGTTACAGTCTAAACCTCTTGCAAAATAATCCACTTATAAACTGAGAGCTGGGGGCAATCAGATGCTGTTCCAATACAAGACTATTTCTCATGCTGTTTTTGGTATGATCCTTTGTACAAAGAATGGCAACTGTATGAAAACTAACTCCTATGCATTTTTAACAACAGCAAAAAAAAAAATCAGAAGAGGACACCTTTTCAGCTATCCCCACCATTATCAAACATTACCATCTTTCAAAAGTATATTTAAGACTGTAATACATCATGACAATCCACTTTACAACTGCAAATCCTTGTCTTTAGAAGAATAACACAAGTAATGACCTAAACTACTTCTCTTTGTGCTATCAGGACAGCAGGTGTGAAACAGTACTGCAGAACAAGATTAATCACTTTTATTTCACTCTTTAAAGAAACAAATCAGAAGTCTACAACTGGTCTTTATGAACCAGCCAAGAACAAAACAAAGGCAACTGTGCCAATAAAATTCTGGACATTAACAATGCATTCAAATGGTAAGAGTTAAGCCACAGATACAAGGCCAAGAGAAGTCATCTTAGAGCACCAACATCAAAGCTTCCTGCTCTGAGGTGGTGAGTCTGTGCCTGTTTACTCGCCTATTTCAAAAGATCACCTTCCCACAAGAAACAAGTATTGTTCTATTAAACCTCCTTAACTGAACAAGCCATTCTGACCTTGTGTTACTGTGTACCTTTTTACCTTCCAAAAGATACTCAGGTAAAATCAGAAGCCTGGATTACAGTATACACTAGTGATCAGAGCTACAACCATAAGCCCAGACTAATACTATAATTATTAATACTGAGAGCAACTCAGGCGCAACAAATAGAAGAAGAAAGATGACATCTGACTTCTTTAGAAAACACTGCAGACCACTGGACTGAAACAAAAGAATTCTAGAGGACCCACAAAGGTGCTACAGAAAACAATTAAGTCATAACATGGAAAAGCAAAACTTGACAAGGGCAGGAAAACACAGAAAATATAAACAGAGGAAAATAAAAGTTTATACATACTTATTCAAGTGTTTCCTAGCTGCAGGGATGCCAGACATTTCTTCATTCAGCACATATTTCTTCGTTCCCATGCAGTAATTTTCCATGTATTCTGCCCAATGTAGTTGCCGAACATCAAAATTAAACGTCTGCATAAAATAAAAGCTTTCACTGTTAGCTGTCTAAAAATTCACCTACTATATATAATAAAGGAAAAGAATAATGCCTTTATACCAGATAATTCCTATTTGTCTTTGATGCAAGAAAGTTATCTTGTCCTGAATCATAAGAACAATCCAGATTTAGATCCCATTTCTGACTCAACCACCAGCTTCTTATACCATCTCTTCCAAATTTCAACCATTTCATGCCTTATTTTTCCTCTTCAGCAGTAATACTCTTCCCTCCACTTCCAAGTTCAGTGCCTTCCCATTTCATCTGTCTGTAAGGAATTCCACTCTAGAAATAACTATTTTCTGTTTTGTTGTTTCCTTTTAAGCAACAACATAATTCTAATATGCTCTAGAATAGACACTGGTCTGTGCCAAGTTCACTGTATGATAAATGCAGAGTTCTAGCTGTGCTTATAGTTGTACAGCTACATTTTAAAAAGAACCATAGGAGTATCTTCCTCAGGAGCAGAAGCTACTATGGTAAATTCACAACTCAAGTTTTCCACTGATGTATTGATTTCCTTATCTCAAGATTCTACAATAACAGCCATTTAAGTCCCAATAAATACCAAGATATTACAATATCAGCGCCGAGTTACTACCAGGGTTAGCTGTACGTTACAGTAAGTAGCACTACCAGTTCATGTCCTTATTCAGTCTTAAATCAATGAGCTTATATTTCACTTTCAGTCCCCATGCCCACACCACACAGCTACTTGCCTTTTTGTCTTCAGGGTTTAGCTGGTTCATTAGCATAGTCATATTTTCAGTATTCCAGATCCAAGAATTGCTTGTAAAGTATTCTAACAACATCATGGCCTTATGAAGACGTGTTATTGTTTTCATCATCCTACAGTCCAAGGCATGGAATGTAGAGATTACAATGGTAAAGATTCGTTCAAACAAACACAAAAAGACAGTAAGATTTAGAGATTACAGTGGTAAAGATTAGTTCAAACAAACACAAAAAGACAGTAAGATCATAGATTTTTTTTACCCTTCAACCCTGCACCCCTATATTAACATATCCCATCTTGCTCTGTACCCAAAGCATGTTGTATTAGATCAACAGGATATTTCTGCATATTATTAAAGTGGATTTTGGCTCTCCAATCTTTATACAGAAACAGAAATTATAGGACAATCCTTTTTTCCTGATCCTACCTCCCAGTGCATTAGTAAATTTCTTCCCTAGAAAAAGAAGAGACAGTAAAATGTCTTCTGTTGGTCACTTATTTTAGGAGACAGACACAGAATGCTTTTCACTTCAGCAAACTGGAACACTTAGTTGTACTGAACAATTGGACTCGAAAGAGTCAAATTGCACAGTGCAGAATATATGCACGTAACAACTTTAAGCAAGGGAGTAAGTTTTAGTTAGGTGATCAGTTCTATGCTACTTCAAAATATGCAGAAATACCTTCCAACATCCCTTATTATGCAGAGGAAGCAGCTCTGCAAAACCATCACTTGGAGTACAGAGAAATTACATTATAAGGATCAATTTGGGTAAGTTGCTCTTTGATAAGACTACCTGAATGGACCCAAAAAATGTGAATTAGCCAGTCTCTCAGATGCAAAGTTCCCACATTTATGACAAGAAAATTGTTTCAACTGTTACAGTGCTAGAGAGGGGCACCCGATTTTAATAAGTACTAAAGAATACCACATAAACTAAAGCTATTGAATTCCTGTTTTGGGTGCTCAAGGTATTTCTGTCTTGCACATCTGCTTCCAATTTGATCCTTATAGCAGGAAACATTGATCATTTTAAGCACAAAGGGGAGGAGGGGGGGAAGGCAAAGAAAGCAGAACAACCCAGCACTAACAGGAAATGGCTTTCTGAAGGTAAGTTTTGTTCAGTAAAGCTCATAGAAGCAGTAAAAACCATTGATTTTTCTCTGAAAGCTGCCTTGATGCATTCATACTTGTAGAAGGGATAGAGCACATTGTCTTTAGATGAAAGTAATTTGCATCACATTAGTGTCCCCTACTGTCACTAATGGCTGGCATCTCAGTATCTAAGGGAGTATCAAAATTGCCTTTCTTCTCATGAAATGAAGTAAAGAAAAAAAAATTGCAGAGACCACTGAAAAAGCAGAGTATCGCTAAAGCACAAAAAGCACAAATACTTTTCCTTAAACCCCATAGAACCTACCTACAGAGTAATTCAGAGCTGTATTCAAATTTTAGAGCACCAGCTGATTTTATTAGTAGGCATTTCTAGATGCTTTCAAACACCTGTTTATAGTTTCACCAGTTGGGCAAGGTGGCAACAGCAGGAGCTGAGTTGAACCAGAGTTCCTCTGATTCAAAAATAAATAGGAATACAGACTGTGCATCCAAAACATATAGTTGGCTAACAAGACCGAACTGAACATTAAAAAAAAGCATAATAGTTAAGTCAAAAAATCAAGACCTCATAGCAAAATGGCCTGGATTAAAACAGTGCCAAAGAGGACACAGTGGCTAAGTGCCTAGACTTTTTGCAGAGATCTGTCCACTGACAGTCTTAAGATTATTTAACTCTGTGGACTTGCTCTTTTGTCCTTCTCCAATTTGTGTTCTTACATGAAACTGGAAGAGCAGCTGCATTTTAGTTAGAGTGCTTAGATTGCTACAGTTTAAGAAAACTCGTGCCCCTACAAAATACTAAATGGTACAAATGAATATCTGATTAGACAAGTGTAGATTTTGATCTTGTTACAGCAACTGACATTGGTTTGCACTCCTTTTTGTAAACAAAAACTAAAATAAATTGAAACTAAAGATTAACCTTTGCTGGGCATCTTGCTATCTCTGCTTATTGATATGGTTTTAGAGTATAGCTAAGCTGATTAAAAGAAAAAAAAAAAATCAAGTGGTTAAAAAGAATTCTACCTCAGCTGCAGATTTTTTCCCTCCCACCAGCTCAAAGTGGATTTAGTGACTGGCCACAGAATCACAGCTGATCCAATTCATCAGAGGAAAATATTTTTTTTGTGATCTATCAGCCAAAGAATCAAATGTCTCCACATTCTCTCAACTGCTAGATCAATTACAAAGTTGGCAGAAGAGAACCAACTTTCTTGGTGATAAGCTTGTTAGTTTGCACTAAGCTGATCCAGTTCATCACAGGAAAATATTTTTTTTTGTGATCTATCAGCCAAAGAATCAAATGTCTCCACATTCTCTCAACTGCTAGATCAATTACAAAGTTGGCAGAAGAGAACCAACTTTCTTGGTGATAAGCTTGTTAGTTTGCACTAAATCAACATGAAACTTTTTTTTTTTTTTTAGAAGAAAGAAGCACGGTGACAGCCTCTCATTCAGAGATGTCAGCAATGAGTGTCATTTAGTGGACACTTGTGTAGCTCTGGCAGACTAAGTTTTATAACTTCAATGGCACCATATTCCTCCTACAGATGGGAATACACACACAACTCAGAAAAGAGCATGAATATACGTAATGGAACTTTTATCTTGCAACCTGAGGTTTTGAAATACACACTTCACAGGTTGTTCCAGAGATAGCCATTGGATACAAGTCATAAATATCAAAGTCATATATAACTAGTCAGTATAATATCAAGCATTGCATCACACCTTCTTCATAAGCTGAAGACAGTAACAAGTCAGACCTGCTGATCATCATAAAGAACTGAACATTAGCAGCAGTCAGCAAGTCAGTGTGACAGCATGCAAGACTTTCACCTAGATACTAGGCAGAATTTTGCCTCTATACTAGGCAGTCCTTACTGCCACTAACACAAAATACATTACAACAGTTCAAGAAGCACATCACAAGAATTAAAAGTTTTAAGCTATAGTTATTTCAATTATCCCTAAGTTAAATGGGCATGTTGACATGACATGACAGACAATTGAAAGTGCTTAAGACTATGACTGCATTTTGCCAGGCTAAAAGCAGTTCTGATGCTAAATACAGATTGATACTTCAGTGGATCTATAGGCTGCCAATCCACAAGTCTCTGCATAAGTATTAGAAAGACTCCTCTGAAAAGACATAAAACAAGCTTTCAGATTTGTCTTTTGTTTAGATTTTCATTCATCTGGAAATTCTTAAGTATAGGACATACTACTGGAACTCCCTATATTTCCAGCAGCTCTGTGACTCCTTTAAGTGGACAACTTAAAAGTGCTTCCAAGTAGAAAAACTACATTAATCTATTCAATAGAAGTGTACTCTTTACTCATTTCAGGTTTATAAGATAGTAACTATGTGAAAGGTGCTTCACATTGTTTTAAGAAGCTTTAAATTGAAATTATAGATATGAAATTATGTCCTTTACACCTCCCCACATACATCAACCACACCTTCCCTTTAGCTTTCCAAGCAGCAGTAACAGAAACTTAATTGCTGGAGAAATCCCTGAATAACAACTTGAAATATTTCATGTCACATTCTGTTCTTCCAGAGTAATTTGAAAGATCTGCTGGGTGTGTTTTTTAAGGCTTTAAGACTCCAAATATACTGAATTGTTTATAAATAACAAATGGTTCTGTTGTGCTAAGCACTATGCAAAGTTACAAGAGAGAACTATGCCTTATATTAAAGTTAATTAGACAACTAATAAGCTTTGCTATGCAACTAAGTATATAGGACAAGCTACTAACATTATCCTTAAACTTTGATGCCAAGGATTACAACCACTATTCAATTGCACAATGCTATAACAGTCTTAAGTATTTTGTATAAAATATCAAATATTCATTATGACAATTCTTATTGTACATGTTCTTTCTATAAAATTTGGAAGAAATATTTTTTCCATTTCTTTAACTCTTAATATTATCAGAGAACTGTTAAATTCAAGAACCTTCAACTAGATGCAAAAATAGCAAAAAAATTTCCATCTCACCAAAAACACTGCTTCCAGAAGCGAGGTGCAAAAGAATGATTCAGAGAAGCTTTCAAAAAATGCTGAACAGGAAGATTTTTTTTTATTATTATTATTCTTATTATGAACATGATCCTTTAGCTCTGAAGGGTCACAGGCCTGATCAATTTCTTCCACTTGTTAAAAATTTAATTCAGTTGCAGTACAATATTCTGACAGTATGACAACAGTGTAGTTAAACCTACACAGTAATTTCATTGCTTAAGAGTTTTTTTCTACATTGTATGCAATAAAGACCTCAGAAGTGTATTCAGACACAGCTCAGAGAGGACAGGCCATCGACCATGTGAAGTCAAGTTATTTAAGTATTTAAATTTTCTTGTGCTGATTTTATTACATTTTAACTACACTGCTCAAGTTTTTCTGCTAAATTGTGGACAAAAAGGTCACATTTTAGATTAAGCCAGCCCTTCTTCACTCAGAACATTATTATGTTGAGTTTAAGAATTTACTGCTAAGAAAACTGATAAGAGTGGTCTAAGTAACACAATTATTCACAGCCTTGTTTTAGTCGCACTGGTCAAAAAGACTAGATGCCTTTTCAAGACTGACAAGATTCTGGAAGCACTACTTCCTAACCATTTGAAAGACGGTAGGTTGACATTTATAGTGTAACTATTTTTCGTAAGTTATGAAGTCTTCATATCTGTCAGGAAATTCCTATAAATTTCTATTAAGAATAACTTAAAATTGCAAAAGCGCTAGGAACTTGCATGTTCAACACCTCCTTTTGATCTGAAGAGCTTACATCTTTTTAATGTGGGAAGATTACTATACAGGCCCAGCCTCCTGCCACTAGTGTTGCTATATTAGGCTTGGAACAACAGAACCCAAGGCAGTTTAGGAGTTTGCTCCTACAAACCACTTACATGGCTTCCTGCTACTGATCCAGTGCCAAGTCTGTTACGGAACTTTTCCCCTCCTTACAAGGCAGACCTGGACTAGAGGGCAATGAATGAATACTCACTTGTGTTAATACACTGTCACCACAGTGGAAGTCCTATAGAGTCTGAACACAAATACTTTTGAAAACATAACATATGCAACGAGTTAAGATCATATGACTTGGCAAATCTGAAACAAATTGAAGTGACTTCTTATATTCCTGCTACATAATTTAGTTTAGCCTATTTAGCAGAGCTATGCCATTTTTACCACTTAAGAAGTTAGCCAGATACTAGTGTAAATATTATAAACTGAATGGAATGTTGAGATGATACAAACCAACATATCAGATCAAGTTGTATCATCTACAGGAATAACCCGCAATTATTAACTCCGACTCCCATTCCATTTTCAGTTTATAATAGCAACAACAATCTTAAGGCAAGCCACTTCCTAGAGTTTAATGACTGACTAGGATTCTGATCCGAGACATCTTGAACAGCATCATTGAGCCAGTCATTAATCTCTTTAAAACGCAGCCACTGGATTGTTATTGCTTATAGTTAGTAAATCTAGATAGTGCCCATGCCATGTCTTCTTCACAAGTCTCCACCACCTTTCTAGACAGGTATTTTCAGCCCTGTCCTTCTTACCATGGTTTATGACCTGTCAATCTGAGCAAAAGATCGTGCAAAAATGCAGGCACTGTATGGCTGACTGCAGTCCAATATTGATACAAGAGGGGGTTGGATTGTAAACTAATGTTAGGGTGCCTTATTGCACTTTCTAATGGATTTATCTTGAAATTCAAATTAATGTGGTATCCTGTAGGAAAAAATAAGGATCAACATATTTTGAATATTTATTATCGAAGAACAAATATCACTTGCTAGATCTTGTAATTCTGTTTACCTTGACTACTCAAACCCCCAAACTATCCAACAAAAACATCCTCATTTTTGCTAGAAAGTTCAAAGCCACTTTGAATTCAAGGACCTGTTCTCAGGAAAAAACGGCTGAATTTTAGTCACAAAGCATTCCGGGGAAGAAAAAAAAAAATAAATAACCAATATACATCATAGTGTAAGCATAGCTTTGTTTAAAAGTCAGAGGAACAGACAAGACAGAGCTAGTCACCATTACCTTGGGCTTCTTCCAGTAATCCTGAGGTAGATATCATACAGGAATGCTGGGGCCTTATGGCTTACAGCAATCCAGTAATGATATAAAAGGTGATTGGAAGTTAGATTTACATTGGGCCGTCTGAAGGCCTGTTCGAGAGGATTCCTCTTGAAAGTAGAAATTACATGGTATTCTGAGAAAGAAAAGTTGTGTAACAGCTTTGATAATAACCATGTAAAATTTAATGGTTTTCAAAGTACATTACAGTGTAAAATATTTATGTGAGTATGTTATTTAAATAACCAGCCTAACTCTTCTACAATCCACAGAAACTAAAACAAAATCATAAGCTTTTAACCTAGAATACTGTTGAACTGGTTCTTCTTGTAATCGAGGTCTTTTATGCCTTCATCTTTCGTATCATATTTTATTGTAGCTTCTCTCTTTCTGTTCCTCTTCTCTACCATCAGAAATTCACAGCATTTCAGTTTATATAGCATGTAAAGCTACTTAAATAGTCATGTATATTTCATGAAGAAGGCTATTCTGATCTCTTGTGTGAAGAATAATTTAAAAACAGACTGAGGACTTTGCAAGCATCTGAAGTACATTTCAAATGACATTTTTAAACAACTTATATCTAAGCATTAAGAAAAAAGCGATTAGGATGGGACTCCATGTGAAACTCCTGCTGACACCTGAAAATTCTGTACAAGACAGACATGCAGGATTAGCATCTTTTAAAGTTGTTGAAATTCACCTCTCCTTTTAATCACCTCTTGTAACTTCATGCTGTTGTTTATTATAGACAGTGTTTAAATATCCTGATTCAAATTGGGATATGAAGTCAGCAATTTTCTGGGTTTGGCTGAAGCAATAACATTTATACATATAGATAAATATAAACTGGGCAAAAGCAAGTAAAAAGCATGAAGAAAGTAGTAAAGAGAAATAAAATAGATTTAAGTATTAAAGTTAAATGGAAGAAAAAAATACTCTGAGCTTAAGAAGTGTATTTCTAAAAAATTGAAAGGTAATAAACAGCCTTACCATGCCAGACAGCTTGTAATGCTATATATAACAAAAACTATTACAAAGCTTTTGGCATGTGGATTACATTCTAGTCAGGATATCTAAGCTGAAAATAGGTGGCCATACTTTATTAAAGATTACTTTTGCCTGTACATGAATAGTTGCAGTTTCATGTAGCTATCTGAAGATTATAAAAAAGCCACCTCAACCAATTAACTGAAACCAAACACAACAAAGGGCTAATCAAGTGCTAAATTATTGCCATACCTCTCAATTGCGGAGATGTACAAAACTTCTAATTGTGGGCTGCTTACCCATATGTATTTAGCAAGGTTAGCATTAAACCCAACATCACTACTGCTCCTCTGAGCAATGCTTTACTCTGCACACTACCCACACTCTGCAGATTAAGTCATGGCAATATCAAGTAGAAAAATCAGTTCTCCCATAGTTTAAGTTATAATGGAATTAAAAAAAAGAACAAAATGAAACAATGATAATGCTACAAGGAGAGAGAATTAACAATGGAAGATAATGAAAATGCACAAATACACTGAAAAATTGAGAGGTATGGCTACTATAATATTTTCAACAACAAAAATGCAATATGACCTACTGACTGTAGTCTGTGCTTTTATTTTTTCACCTTATTTTTTCTATTAAAGCTTATGAAAAAAAGTAACATGGCATACCAACTTCACTCCAGTGGAAAGGATTGGTGCCACCTGTTGTACAGTTATATACCATGACATTTCTTGGTCTGGGGGGAAAAAGACAAAAGAGCAAATTAGAACACAACCTTTAAAAAACACAGACAGAAGAAATACCCAAAGTTATGTTTTCCCTCAACAGCATAATTTACTTAAAGCAGAAAGCATCAGTCTCATGTTAGATTTTTCAGCTTTCCGTATCATCTTCCAGTATTTTTCTCCTTCTTTAACTATCGTATTTCTTTTCTTTCAGAGAAAGCATCACATACGTTACTATAGATAGTATTAACTACAAGACCCAGGAAGGAATTTTCATGCATAGCTTGTACAACATTAACAGTTCTGATGTCTTCCTCTTCAGCATAAGGAAGTTACACTTCAAGGGACTAACACTGTTAGAACCTTAGATTTCTCTGTCTTGGGTGAAGAGCAGGACACTGATTAGAAGTTCAATGGAAGACTGATTCATTAAAATACAGAATATATTTTCAAAATATTTAGTATTCTCTATTGTAACCAGTTATACCTATTAACTCCTGAATACCAGGCTGCAGCCAGTGTCGTATTGACAACAACATCTACTGGAACAAGATCTGCTACTGCACTGTTGGAAGCCCTCATTGTTCGAAGAATTCCTTTTCCTGCCTTAAAGAACAACAAAAAGAGACAGAAGACCCACCAGTAAAACATACAAAGCATTGTTGCCTTCCAAAAGGAGGAAAATAATTTAAGTATATTCATTACTTACAGCAATAAAGAGACCACTAGGTCCATTGAAGTTATCAATCCATCCCTATTATGAACAGGAGGGGAGGGAAAGGATTTGGTTAGAGTACACTGAATTTAGCACTTTCAAGTGAAAATCTGAGAAATTTCTATAAGTGTAAGTGGTGGAGGGAAAAAATAATAAAGTGGAGAGATATATTAATTTCCATGTCTCTAAATGAAGTTCTTCCATAGCAATATCTCATGATTTAACACGTTGCTATGACTCAGACAAGAGATCTACCTGGAGATTCACTGGTCCTTCAAAGTGAGATGTTTATTTATTACGGAATAAACTGCAGGGCATTGTCTGTATAAAGATGTTTATGTTGAAAGTATTCAAGTTTACAAGTATTTTTAGACTAGCTTCTAGCAACTCAGAGAAGATGGGTAAGCAGTTTTGCTCTCGATTATTAGTTTTCTCATTTTTCAAACAGAAGACATTCTTGATCAATTTTAATGACAGTATTTAGACACTATATACTCATTGGCTTGACATGTACATTGTACATACCCGGAAAGGTACAAAGCCAATTATACACATTTTAAGGGCTTGAGAAATGTTCAGTCTTGAACTGGAAAAGCTAATTCAACACCAATCTGCCATACAGGACAAAGCATATGTGCTATATATCAATACAGTATACAACACAAAACTTATGCCATCCCCTGCAAAGCTAACAGGGTTTGACTAAAAAAAGTTTAGCCAAAACACCTATGTCCTGCAGCCCCTAGTTTTCTTAGTTGCCCTTTGCAGCTACTGAAATACCAAAGCATCCTGAAGAGAGAAAAATAGATGAAGATACACAGAACCATGAAGTGAAAAGCCGACCATTTATTTCACGTGGGAAATAGTATCTCCCATTGTGACAGAAGTGTATTGTTCTATGATTACAAGTAATTTACAAGTAATTTCACACATAAGAATACTGTATTTGGCAGCTTTTGCATCAGAGTTGTTAGCCAGAAACGATCAAACCACAACTTCATAGTCCAAAAGATTTTCATCTATGAAGGTCCCTAGACAAACAGGCTGTCAGTACGTACAACAGTTTGCAGGCAAGATGGTCAGAAGAAAATTCAGTAACTTACAGGAAAAGGCTCCTTCCAGCTAGCACCCACAATAGATGGCCTTATAATAGCTGTGTTTAATTTCGCACCTTCTTGTTGTACTACATATTCGGCTAAGGCTTTTGTATATATGTAAGTATTAGGTCTGTCACCTAATAGTTTAGGAGTAATATCATTCACTAGGCCATCATCCATCCACCTAAAGAAACAAAATAAGAGGCAAGTGTAAATTACTGCATGCTGCAGTAAAAGGGCAAAAGCAATATGTAAAAAGGATAACCAGATAAATGAAAAATACTTTGGAAAGTAAAATTAAAATCCAATCTCTTCTTCAAAATACCACCCAAGGAAAAAAAAACCACCCACACCAAAACCACCACAGCATTAGCATTCCCCTAGAAGGTGTATAAGCACAAAGGAACAAGAAATTCTGTGACGAAATTTAGGCAATAATTGAAAATTCAGTTCTCTCTTTCATATTTCTGCAACAACGCCAGTGTCTAACACTAAACTAGTACACTTTAAATCTCAGCTTGATTTTCAGAATTTAACACCAACTCCCACTGAATTTGGTGTTTCACATACTTCTTTCTGCTTTAAACAGCTGGAAGTTGTAAAACATTTCCATAAGTATTTGCATATCAAACAATAAATGTCTGCTGACAGCTTATACTGCACTTAGCTTCAAAACCACATACCCTCCTAAAATACCCTCATCAAAATTACAAGAGTTAGGGCTTTTTGATTATTTAAACTGAGGGTCAATCCCACAGGCCAGAAAAAGCAAGTTTAACAGAGTCTGCCTATTATTCATTTTGCTTATGCACTACTATTTAAATTAAGCTGGCAACTGCATATGTGGAGCCTTTCTGAAAAGGGATCTTAAGGAAGCATGTTATATTTGAGATCCTACAGCAGCAGTGCAGTTAGGCTAGTTTAAGGACATTACTACCAACTTACAGAAGACTGTTTATACTGACTTCAGGCTCATTTTGTTTCAAATTCAACTGTAAAACCTAAACTTCTGAGAGTAAATGCCAAGAACAAAAAAAAAAGCAAAAACTACCTTTTACTAGAACATATGCCCAGTTCAAAAAGTATTTTAGTACTATTTTATATGGTGTACTGTAGAAAGTACATTTATGAACTTCACTAAATATTAAGTATTTTTTTTCTCTTTTGTTGTTAACGTTACGATGATTTTTTTTCTTCTTTAAAGAAAAAGGGATAAAGACTGAAATGAAAATAAGTTTCTCAGTAAAACAGGAGGTTTGTATATTCATTGTCCACTAAAAGAAGCATACTGATATTTACTTTTTTGCCCAAGTGATTAATTTATTACATAGCAACTACAGAACAAGTAGTACTTCCTTCATAATAATCCTAATTTTATCAACTAAATTCTCAAACATGAAGTGCAGACACAGCAAGCTAGTCTTTGGGCCACAGGCACACCACTCCTCGGTCAGCACTAAGTGATCCAGAAAGCGATGCCACTGCAAAAAAGTCCAGCTGCTTTACAAGCATCACCTCTACCTTCGTGGTGTTAAGCAATCATGCACCACCTCTGAAGCAAGCTGGGTCATTGTGTTTCTCCCCTTATTTAAGTCTTGCAATTTCGTGTTGCTTCCCAATTCATGCAGCAGTTTGTATCTAAAATTGCAATAACCTTCAGTCATAGCACAAACACAACAGAGGTGTGCCCCTTGAACTACTGCTACTTCCGTGTTCTCCACTTCAAAACAGGACTTGGATTTTATTTGCCTCAGACACCCAACAACTTAGCAACACAAATGGAATTTAGCCAGCATTGTTATTCACCAGTGCTCTGTTACAATCAAAGTTGACATGCATCAGACTCCCTCATGATATGAACTGGGGTGGGAAGAGTGGCAGAAAAGCCCAGAGAGGGTGGCAAATCTGTTTTTGTGTGTCTCAGTCAGCTGTTGGCTAGAGAGATCACTCCTGTATAAATTTACAAAAGCCTTCCCTCATTGCCATGAGTTCTAAAACACAGACAGCTGTCCAAGCCCAAACCAAGCAGTTTAAGTTATATTTATCCTGCTTGTGAAATGAAAATATAGGCAAAAATATGACTATTTCAGAATATCTCATCTGAAAGTGTATTTAAAGTCAACATTGTAAGAAAAAGTTAGCTCAATGTGCATTCTAGGTAGTAGCTCATTTGTTTTTTAATATCAATGCTCTTCCATCTGTAATAGCAAGTTAAAGAAGATATTTTACTTTTAAATGTTATTTTTAGTTTCATACTTCTCTTACAAGGGGTGATATTTTGTATGACAGGGAAGAGGGGAGACACTGATTTAGAGTTGAGATTATTATTTATGACATTACACTTGACTTATCCCATATCTGCCACCTGTTTCAGTTAGGGTTTGACAGCTACTAAATAAGACCTCAGGACAGCTAATATACACAGGCAATAAAATATAGAATGAGTAATTTTTTCCCCACTAACAGCCAGTTCAAGACTAAAAAGCTACAGAAAACAGATTTTTAATGTTTGTGCTCTCTGAATACCCAATAGAACTACTTCTACATTTGCATTTCTGAGCAGTTAAATAATATTATTTCAGTATCTCAGTCTGATCTTGCAGTGGCATTTAGGTGGATGTAGGGGAAGCTGTTAAAGGGGACTGTCTTGATTTTATCCCTTTCCTGCACAATGCTGGTGTTAGCACAATTGTAACAGCACAGCTTCCTTGTTTTTAATAGCTCCCGATTCAGCTCATCATACAGCTGAAAAATCTCCCGTTTCAGCATATAGGAGGCATCATGAGTAGATCTGAGTATCCTTCTCCTTCAGTACCACCCCTAGCTCAGCTGAAAGTGCCCATAAAACCTTAGCCCATCTCCTTACAGAAAAGGGAAGTGTCAGCCATGCTGTCAGACTTACAGGACAGCATAAGCTAATTTCTTTGTCCTTCAGGTTTCTAACTATTATTTTTCAGTACTTCATTACTAGGAAGCAAGTGGTTACAGATTATTGAAGTAGCTTTATAAAACAGAAACGTACTCAAGAGAATCTATCAGCTTCCTGGGATCAACAGGAGGTGGATAAACTACTTCCTCAATCTGTTTTCGATTGCAGTATGCATAGGCAGTTGATACATGCATGAACACTTCCAAATTCTTCATTCGCTGTGCCAACAAGAGGAGCTCTTGTGTGGCAGTCACGTTTAACTGAACAGCATCTCTGTTGATTAAACAGAAATTTGATTAGCAGAAAGCAAGACAAAAAACAAGCAAAAAGAAACAACTAGTTATTTCACTCCTAAATGCCTCAGTGATGGGTATAGAAAGTATTTCTAATTACTCCACTGTCCCCAGAAAAGCAGCATGGACCGTGTCCTAACTTCCTACCGCAGATCATGCTGCCATCTTAATCTGGAACATTTCTCAGTGTTCAGGATAATTTTCCCAGGTTTTAACCTGTTCTTATTGGCATCCTCATGCATTACTAGAGTGGGAAAGTCAGCATACCTCTCATCTCCTCAGGCTAAATCCCAATCCTAGATTTTTCATAAAATGTGAAGGAAATAATGCAACAAAACACCTAGCTGCCACATAAGATCCATCTCTGAACTCCCCAGTTCAAGTTTAGTTGGGCCAACAACTCAGAAGGAAGACTTAGAGGGTAAGCTGGAGACTGGCATCTTGTAGGATAGCCCAAGGCTCAATAGTACAACAGGATTGTAGAAAGAAAGGAAGAAAAAAAAAAGAAAACCACCAAGAACCAGACTCTCATCCTCAACTTCACTGTTTCTCATTAAAATAGAGTCCTTAAGGGCACTGTAGGAGGGTAGGTATGTCTCTACAACTCCCACCGGAACACAGCTTACTGACCAACTGGTCAAGTCCCTCTGGGCTTTTGTCAGGTTGGCAGTTCCTTAACATTTCCAGACTATAAAACAGCAATAAATATGGGCTACCTTATGACATTTCAGCATACAGTACAGCATTCTTAGAGAGGTAGTGTCAGCCTTTGTAACAACTTGAAGAAAATCTGAGTTGAGAAGTGTTTTATCTTAAAGTTGCTTTACTTCCCTGATTTACTCCTCCCCCTCTTCACAGTTTTGCCAACAAGTTATCCTCTGAAAATGTGCGTTCCCCTTCTAAGAAGAAAGGCTAAAAGAATGGTTTGTGTTCCCTTTTACATACTAGGAAAAAAGCTCTAATATTCCTAGTGAGCACAGTACATATACCTCCAGCTTATTCATATCCTTTCTACCCATCCCAGAGATCAGAGCAACACATGACGTTAAGACTCAGAATAGCAACGTTCCCTAGTCTCTTCAGCTGCTTCCCTTCAAAGCCTTTGAAATTCAGGCATAGAGATTTAGTTAAAAACCCCCCAAAACAAAAACAACCCACAAGCAAAAAAAACTAACAAAAAACCACCTGCAAAACCAAAAAACCCACCTACAACAAACCAAGCATACAAAACCTGAGGGGCATATAGCAAAACTAAAAGAATAATTTGCTTAGTTTCTAAGTGCTAATAACAGATTTGTCTTTTTGCCTAAAGCTTTAAAAAGATACACTATTCAGCATCGAAAAGTTTGTAATTCTAACCTCTGGCAAAGCAGGTATAAACAATATCCCTTCATCTTCCTAGAATGACCAAATTAAAACCCAACAGCTTAAGATAAGTTTGAGGGAAAAGGTTATTATCTTAAGGGGCATCATGAAATTGACCAAGCACACAAATACCAGAGCACACGAAGAAGCCTGACAGGCTGAATATTTGCAAGATTGTGCAGACACCCAACTTATCCCCTCCCTTTGAGTACCATTGGTTTACAGACCAGAGTACACAGAATTTTAGACTCACCTTAGTGGTTCATTGAATCTGACTGTAGCAGCACAATGAAATACAATATTAATGCATTCTATAAGTTTTTCCTTGATTGGTTCACTAAGGTCCAGTTCAGGTTGTGTAAGCTCACTCGCAATTACTATTATTTTTGCTCTGAAGTCTGGTTGCTCATCTCTCAACCTGTCAAAGAGCTGTCAAAAAAACATGACTGAAAATTCAAACTAATAGCCAGTAAAGATAAGAGATACACATTTCATTTAAGTGAAGAAAAAAAAAAAAAAACAGCTTATACAGAGTTACACCTCCTTATTTCTCAAGATCATCAGTAAGTTAGAGAAGTGTGTTAGCTGTATTAGAACAACATATTACTGACTTCCCATGAACATATTCAGTGATGAAATTGTGCACACTTTATCCCACAGTGAAAGCAGTCTTGCATCTGTTGTATAGACAGTAATGACTTCAAATTTTTTTTTACTACTCATCCATATCTTTAAAACCAGATGTCTATCAATATTAGAAGAAGGAACGGTCTCTATTAGACACCAGGACTCAAAGAAATTTTAAGTAGCACTCTAATTACTATAATCCCTTTTCTTTTAATAGAAGGAAAGGGAAAAGTCTGCCCACTTCCCAAGCTTGATAATAACTATTCAAATTCTTATACACTTGCACAAGTCATGCTGGTTTTTAGGTTTAGAAAGCTTTCATCACGCTTTAAAAATTTCCAGTGAATTAAGAAGCTCTATCCTGGAATTATGCCAGTTTTGGGGAACTCCCAGATTAAAAAATTATTTCTCTGGCTAGTTAAAAGAAAAAAGGCAGGGTTAAAGGCTGCATACCATATTAAAACATCTGATCAAATTTTATCAAATTGGTGTTCAACTATCCTCACCGAAAAAAGTCTCACCCATATTATATTCAACCATATATTCTCCTCGTAATTAACTGGGTTCTAACCATGTGGCTTCACACACACAGATAAAAATTCTTGTCTCATCTTATTTAACACTCATTAGTATGCAATTTTTTCTGAGCAAAAGAGTACTGTGGGAATAAAACACACTTGAAAGTTTCACCAGAGCACATCCGTCTTCTTAATTGTACAGGGGCCAATATCTTAGCAACTGCTTCAACACAAGTCAATTAAAATGTATTTAAACATCACAGCAGTACTACCCCCCCCAAGCATGCAGTTATACCAAAAGAAAATTGTTAAAAGACATTTCCTTACACAATGAAGAGAAGTCGATTCATTTTCGACTATAAATTAAGTCACCTAAAGGTGCAGTTTTGTGACTCTTAAGGCAATATAAGTTCATACTGCTACCAGACAGACTGGTCCCTCTCCCTACTTCTTATTTTCACATCGCTCCTCTTGCACTCGCACTAGCAAGTAGCCTGATGGCTGTGTGAGCATACCAGTTTGCAGGTCCAGCCTCAAAATATTTTTTTTTGTAGATATTTTTTCAGCTCAACTGTGTGCTAACGCAGCTCACTGTGTAGCCACCAAAAAGTAGTAGTGGTAATGCTGTAGTGAGAATATGGAACGCCTCCAGTGACAGAGGCCTTGAATTGATTTCCCAAACATGAAGCTTCACCTTAAAGGACAAAGCTGCCAAGACAGCACTTCAAGCCTCTGCAATTCTTAGAGGTACAGTAAACAGTGCCTACCTAAGGGCAGGAAGCCTTCTGTCATTTTGAAAATAAACCTACTATGTTTTCAGTTGGAATGATGGTGCCTGCCTCCAGGGAACTGAAGCAACTACCTTTTAATCATACTAATGTGTGGTATGCATCATAATAGAAAAGCAGTCCCATGGATAAGCACTTGAAGAACCGGTCTGGTACTTTTAGTTTGTAAGTTGTATCTGTTCTGCCCCTTCTCACATCCATAGCCATATATTATTTCTACACACCTCGTTCTAGCGCTGACACCAGTACAAAGGGGAACAAGCACAAACACCTAGAGCACATGCAATACATAGAATCATAGAATGGCCTGGTCTGAAAAGGACCTTAAAGATCATCTAATTTCAACACCCCCTGCTTTGGGCAGGGTTGCCAACCACTACATATGGCAAATCAACAGAGAAATTAGATATCTGAAGTCCAAAGGAAGTGGAAACCTCAACATTTTTTGAGTATTTGCAGCTCAATTTATTTTAATTATCACAGTCACCCATTTAGATTTTAAACTCTTCAAGAAATGCAATGTCCAAGTGTCTGTGAAACACTTAATTAGTTCATCCAGATTGTGAAAAGTTACTGGCAGGGCCCTTGCAACTGGACAACTTAAGGAAACAGATCCTATTAAGAATTTTCATAGTCTTTTGGGGACATCTTGATTATATTAATGCCAGTTAAACAATACACTTTCAGTCTAATTTGTCTAACCATGTGATGAACACAGAACAAACATCTGGCCCTATCTACCTCTCTGCAGAGATGTACAACATCATCTCTTTATGTTTTTACTCTAGGGGCTTGTAGGACTACCTCAAGCCGTAGTCCTGCTTACCAGGACTTCTGTTAAGAACTTGTTCCAGCAATAAGTGCTCACCAAGAGTCATAAAACCTCAGAACGTTATCTCAGCAGGAGCTGGTATAGACTATAAGCAGAAGATTTACAACACATGGAGTTTTCCAAAAGCTATACTGAGGCTTAAGCGCTACTGAAATTTAAGTCAGCCCACACTACTGCTACTCTCCTCCCTGCCCAAATAACCCCCACTTTTTATTTGGGTAATAGCGTATACAAAAAGGGGACTGAGAAACGTTTTAATCTCAGAGTTCACTTTGGAGATATTTTGTTTAAGGGAATAATAAACAGAGTTTTATGTAGAGAGAACTTGCGACTCCATTTTAAGACAACCCCACTGTAACTCATTTCTGTTGAGTTCTGTGACACTGGATGGAACTGCAAGCAGATGCTTTTGAGCAACAAGCTACAGTTTTCACACTGTTACAGAAAATAATTTACTAGGGACATAGCCATCTTCATGCCTGCTGTAACCTTAACTAGTCAGTCACAGAAATTAATTGCCTTACTTCAAACAAGTTACCACTCCTAACCTAAGTGTGTTCATACTTTCTTATTGATTCCCTTTGAGCACCTTCTAAGAACACACTTTGTACAGCCTACATTGCATCTCAACATTTCCCAAGCCTGAAAAATTTAACCGCTAACTCCCATGTCCCGTAAGAGAAAGACCTAGATAGAAATAAACAAAGTCCGCTTTAGCAAAGTTCATGCCAGAAATCTCTCCCCTTCCTGTTCATGGCCCTCATCATCAACAGGATACTCTGTAGCAGAGAGATGGGCAACACTTCACAGAATCACACAGAATCACAG